CATTACCCTAATCCCAAAACCAGATAAAGACACTACAAAGAACGAGAATTGCGGACCAATATCTCTGATGAACATAGATACTAAAATCCTTAACAGAATTCTAGAAAATAAGACCCAGCATTATATTAGAAAGATCATACACCATGACCAAGTGGGATTTATTCCGGGGATGCAAGGATGGTACAACATCCACAAATCAATAAACATGATACATCACATAAACAAATTGAGCAAAAATATCTGATAATCATATCAATTGATGCAGAAAAAGCATTTGACAAAATCCAACACCCTTTCTTGATAAAAACTCAGCAAAGTGGAAATAGAGGTATTATACTTTAACATAATAAAAGCCTTATATGGCAAACGTACAGCCATAATCATACTCAATGGGCAAAAACTAAAACCATTTCCCCTAAGAAAAGGAGCAAGACAGGGATGCCCACTTTCATCACTCCTGTTCGACATAGTACTGAAAATGCTAGCCATAGCGATCAGACAAGAAAAAGAAAGAAAAGGCATCCAAATTGGAAAAGAAGTAAAAGTGTCATTATTCGCATTTTTCTATTGTACATTGTAAACCCTAAAGAGTCCATAAAAAAACTACTAGATTTAATAAATGAGTTTGGTAATGTAGAAGGATACAAAATTAACACCCAGAAATCTATGACTTTTTTTATACACTAATAATGAACTCACAGAAAGTTAAACAAAAAAAGCAATCCCATTTACCACTGCAAAAAAAAAAAAATTAAGATATCTAGGAGTAAAATTAACTAAGGAGGTAAAAGACCTGTACTTGGAAAACTACAAAACATTGAAAAAAGAGATAGAGGAAGACATAAACAAAAGGAAGAATATACTATGTTCATGGATTGGTAGAATCATCATCATTTAAATGTCCATACTACCCAAAGCAATCTATAGATTTAATGCAACTGCCATTAAAATACTAATGGCATATTTCACTGAACAAACTCTCCAAAAAAATTCATATGAAATAAAAAAAGAACCGGAAAGAACCTGAGAAAGAAAAACAAAGTTAGAGGGATCACAATACCAGATATCAAGCTATATTACAAAGCCACTGTTCTCAAAACTGCCTGGTACTGGCACAAGAGCAGGCAGATAGACCAATGGAACAGAACAGAGAACCCTGAAATCGACCGAAACCACTATGCTCAATTAATATTTGACCAAGAGGCAGTAGCATACAATCGAATCAAGACAATCTCTTCAATAAATGGTGTTGGGAATATTGAACAGATACATGTAAAAAAATGAAACTAGATCACCAACTTACACCATACACAAAAACAAACTCAAAATGGATAAAGTACTTAAATGTAAGATGGGAAACCATAAAAATCTTAGAAGACTCCATAGGCAGCAAAATATCAGACATATGTCGTAGCAATATCTTTACCAATACAGCCCCTTGGACAATGGAAATTAAAGATAAAATAAACAAATGGGACTACATCAAAATAAAAATTTTCTGCACAGCAAAAGAAACCATCAACAAAATAACCAGAAAGCCCACTGCATGGGAGAACATATTTGCCAATGTTATATCCAATAAGGGCCTTATCTCAAAAATCTATAGGGAACTCATACAACTTAACAAAAGGAAGATAAACAATCCAATCTTAAAATGGGCAAAGGACTTAAACAGACACTTTTCGAAAGTGGACATACAGAAGGCCAAGAGACATATGAAAATGTGGTCAAAGTCACTAATCATCTGAGAGATGCAAATCAAAACAACAATGAGGTCCCATCTCACACCTGTCAGAATGGCTATCATCAAGAAATCAACAAACAACAAGTGCTGGCGAGGATGTGTAGAAAAAGGTACCTTCGTGCACTGCTAGTGGGAATGCAGACTGGTACAGCCACTATGGAAAACAGTATGGAGTTTCCTCTAAAAGTGAAAAATGGAACTCCCATTTGACCCAGTAATCCCACTTCTAGGAATATATCCCAAGAAATCAGAAACACCAATCAGAAAGGATATATGCACCCCGATGTTCATAGCAGCACAATTTATAATAGCTAAGATTTGGAAACAGACTAAGTGCCCTTTGGCAGATGAATGGATTAAAAAACTGAGGTACATCTACACAATGGAATACTACACTGCAGTAAAAAAGAAAGAACTCTTACCATTTGCATCAGCATGAATGGACATGAAAAACATTATGCTAAGCAAAATAAGCCAGTCAGAGAAAGATATCACATAATCTCACTCATTTGTGAAATATAATGAACAACATAAACTGATGAACAAAAATAGATACAGAGACAGAGAAGCATCAAATAGTCTATCAAAATTCAGAGGGAAGGTGGGGGAGGTTGCAGGTAAGGGGGAGAGACCAACCAAAGGACTTGTATGCGTGCATAAAAGCATAACCAATGGACACAGACACTAGGGGGGTGAGGGCATGTGCTGGGGGGTGGGGGTGGCCGGGGAGAGGTCAGTGGAGGGACAAAGGAGACTTATGTAATAATATATGTAATACTTTAAACAATAAAGAATTTTTTAAAAAAAGCATTTGGTTTTAAATTGTTCGTTTCTAGTGAGATATTGTTCATATAATATGCCACATAAGATGCCATTGTGAATTAATATAAACTGACTTAAAAGCTTGAGTTCAGAGAAAGAATAAATGAAATTTTGAGGGACAAACAACATCTTACTGCTATGATCCTGAGATTAATCTCCATTAAATTCATTCCTTTGTGTGCGGACATTGTCTATAGAACCAACCCTTTAAAATAGCACCATTTACCTGGCACAGTGTGCATTAGTGGATTGGTGGGGGGGTTTTGTTTTTTTTGTTTGTTTGTTTGTTTTTGTTGTTTTTGTTTGGAGGGCCGGAATCTAAGCCATAGTAGATAGAGGAGTCCACATATCCACTCAGTGTGCACACAGCTAAACCAATACAAATGAGAGTAGTGAGGTTATGACTCTGCTGAGAGATGACTCATCTGTCATCTGTCCAGATACTAAAATAGGGATGCTGATCAGTCAAGGGCACGATCTGAATCCTGATCACTGAGGGAGAAAGCAACTGACAGAGAAACCAAATGATTGATGTAAGAAGACCTTAAGAAAAGCTCTCCATAATTCACAATTGTGTGTACCGGGTGGTCCAATAGAATCTTAGGTGTGGAGGAATCAGTTAGGATAAGTAATCCAAAAACACATTAAGGAAAAAGAGAAGATAGGAGGAAAATCAAGAGTAAAAATTCTATGACACTTTATTGATTTTAATTGTAAAATCTTTTTTTAAATAAGGAAGTATCCTACATTTCTCTGACATATTGAAATCTTAAAAAGTAAAACACCTGAGTAGGTTAAGGCAGTTTTGGTGATATTTTAGATCTGTTCTTTAATCCTTTCATCCACTTTTTTATTCACCAATTATTTATTAAGTGCCTACTAAGAGCTAGTCATGTACCTATAGGGTTAAAGCAATGCTTAGAAATAGATTAGTTATGAATTCAATATCTATAGATAAACATTGATTAATTATTGAGACCATCTATTAGATGTGACAAAGGAAACACTAGAATGATAGTTGGCATGAAATTTTCCTCAGAAAAAAAATAGTAATAAAAAGATCATAGATAAAATGGATTCTAAACTTAATTTTGGCAAAATACATTTTATCTGGAAAACAAACATACTAATAGTGGAAATCATATATGTGAATCAAATGATACTTTTTATATAAAAACAAAATAAAAATTAGATTTTCATAATCATAGTTAAGGCTCAAATGAAGGATTCTCTCACCAACAAACAAGAAAGAATAAATTTCAAATGGAACCTCTTCTTAGGACAAAAAGAACATGGAATCTTTGCTTATAATTCTTGCCAAGTTATTCTGATGAGCTCTTGTTATTTTAGAACTTTAATTAGAATTATAATACAGGATTTGGCAAAAGTAGATTTACAGTTGTATGTGAAACACAGAGTTTATTTTTGTATTATTATTTATTATTATTTTGTTTTTCCATACAAAGAACTATAAACCTATTTGCCCTACCCTGTATTAAACTAACTGAAATTAATATTTGATGATAAATACGATTGAATATATGTGTATCAACTGCTACATTTATACCTAGCCAGTCCATACACATAATAGCTCCTAAATATATATGTGATGAATGAATGAGTCAAGGTCAATATCTAAGACAAGTGACCAAATCTTCTTTCCCATATTAAGTAATAATTCAATTATTAAAATATAAGAGAGACAATCAGGAACACTACTTAATGAAATGTGAAATGTGAAATGTGAAATATAAACCATTGCTTTTTGAAATCTTTATTTCCCATTTTTTCATTTGTGCGAAGTAAATAACATATTTAAATGCTTGTCATCTGTTTTTGTATTCTGTTTCTTTAAAGAGAAAATTTTTAACAAAGGGGGGGAAATGAAAAAAGCTAAGACAAGAGGGAAGAAAGATTAAAAATGAACTTGCCCATTCTCTCACATTACATTTTGTTGCCCCTGACCACAGAGCAGTAGAGGGAATGGCATCTTAAGTCAAAGACTCAAGCTTGAAATTGGTTGTACTGTGCTTTATTCTCTTAGTAGTCACTCAGGAACCTTCAAAAAGCCACTTTATGCCTAAATGTTTCATGCATTTCAAGGGCTTATAATACACAAATAATTTACAAAGAATTCTAAGATTTCAAATTTAGGAGCTAAACAAATGCTAAGTGTTCTATGGTGAGTTAACAGGGAAATAAAAAAGTTTGGGGAAACTTTATTTTATGCTTTTCTTTGGTTCAGTAATTTTATTTTTGTCTCAGTAAGCTTAAGTCTCAGCCATCTTACTAATAATTGTGTTTAATTCTTAATAATTCTGAGTGCTAAGGGAGATATTTTCAATTTTTTATTTTGTTTTTGTAATTTTTCCTTTACAAAAATTTTGTTGTATATATTTCTGACAATACTTCATGTTAATTTCTTTACCCTTTCTCTTTATAAGACCCAGGAAAATCCCCTGAAACTAAACAAGGGACTATAAAAGTTGCAGCACAAGGTAAGCAATAGAACACTTTAAAATTCTTATTTTTTTCCACTTACATACCTTTTTATTGACAGAAGCAAAAGCTGTTTATTGCAGAACAGCACCATCTGCTGGGTTCTTATAGAAAACATTGCATCGTTGCATGAAGGTACACATTTCAAGTATTTATTTAGCATCTGGAGAAAGCATGACTAAGACAAATGCCAAATTTGCAGGGGAACCACTGAAGGACCCAGGAATTAGTATCTTGACTCCAAGTTTCAGTCATTGAGTTTTTACTTATATTTTCAAAAATAAACCATAGATTGATTGATAGATGGGTAGACAGATATATGATACATAGAGATTATAAATTATATACAAGTGTCCAGTGTTTTCAAATATACCTTCTAATTTGTGTCATATTAGAAAAAATCTGTCAGAATTTTTAAAAAATTAGTATTACTTCATCTGTATACCAAGACTGCAAAATTAGATTCCAGATATGATTACAAAGAAATCACCCTAGTTTTTATGAGCCATCTGAGAAAATCTACTTACAAATATATTTGGGGTATAAGAGTGATGTTTTAAAAGAGACCTTCAAGAAAATATTAATTCTTCAAGTCAGCAGTTTGGGAAAAGTGGTTCTTTAAAATAGTTTTGTTGTATTTTTTAGCTATCATCTATAATCACATTCTTTGAGAAAGTTGTTCTAACTCCAGTGTCCCAACTCAGGAGACTGGAATACAATGAATTATGCAACCTTATGCTCAAACCAAGAGTAGTAATATTATGCAAGTACAAGGAATGGGTACAAGTGTCTGCCTTTGTCATCATTGAAAACTTTACAGAACACACCTAGGGAAAATAAGTAAAATATTTATTGGAGAAAAGTCTTTATTTTTCTCTCCTTTGCTACATTATACAACATCGAACATTTAAGGAGATACATTTAGGTGATGGCACATTCATTTCTGGGCAGAAGACCCTTGTAGCAGACTTCTTAGCAGATGATGTGATTGCATCTGACAAAATTTTGCTGTTATATTTAATCCTGGAACCAACTACATGCAAAATCGCCCTTCTAAATGTTGTCAAAATGGGTTGGCTAACTGCCACTTGACACAATGTTTTTATAAGCAATATTTGATAAAATGGTTAAGAGCTAAGATGTGGGATTTTAGTTTTCTTTTGAAAATCAAGTTGTTCAAGAAAACTGATTCTTCTTTACAGGAGTTCTGATAGAGAATGTAGCAAATGTTATGAGAAGTAGAAAGGCAGGACAAATATTATCACTTTTGTGTTTTATATTCCTGCAAATGCAGCTCAGAGTGCATTCCTCAAGCAAATGACCACTAGTTCCAGGAATCATTGAAATTAAGGTATATAGTTCTTATAAAAAGCACAACCACCTGTTTGCACTAAGGCTTCTGAAGGTCATGGTGGAAATGGAACTATAACTTGACGCAGGAAGTTAGTGTTATTTCAGCATCATAATAGAGGAGCTCAAGGGGAAGAAGTTGAAGAGATAATCTGGAAAATGATTTCAAATTTGAATTTGGACCATAGGCTCTTCACTTTCATATTTCAACTACATCGGACAAGGCAGGCTCAACTTATTTTTTTTTTTTCAGAATGAATGATTTATTGTTGAATGAATAGTAACCTAGAGTTTCAAAAGCTTATTAGAATAGTCCTTTTAAGAAAATTAGATGAAAGTGTTGATTAAGCACAGTGTACAGGCAAGAGGTAGGGCTAAACACATACTTATTAATTTGACTTATCTATGTAACAGCATATTTTATATTCATTTTTGCTTTATGTTTTTATCTCAATTAAAAAACACCATCTTATAAAATAATATTTTAAGGTTATTTTCTTATTTCAGATTTGTATGGGTTAAATCCACTGAATTTATGAATTCGTGGAATAGATTCTCTTATTCCCAGGAATACTCTGAGGAATGCTCATTTAATATGTTTAACACTATTTTCTTTCTATTATTTCAGGAGCAGCTAAAAAAGATGAGAAGAAGGAAGGTATGTTTTATGAAAATTTCCACTATGCCTTTGTGTGAACAGTTAAACAGTTTAAGCTCTGGGGTGAGCTAGTATAAAGGTACTGGAGGCCACTGGTGAGGTAGGGGGTGGGTGGCCAATGTGATTAGGCAGCCTGTGTCTGCTGATTGTTGCTTATTGAAGTTAAGTTTCTTACCCTCCCACAGAGACGGGGATGAAGGGGCACTATCTCTTTTGATGATTACATTTCAAGGGGATGTCTCATAGGTCTTGAGCAAGATATTTCTGGTTGTAGAAGATTTATATTTCAAAGGGATGGAGAAAGAATTTATAATGCAAGCTTTCTAAAGTAAATGTGCTCACAAAAGGGAGGTCTGGGGCCTATAGTCAAGAAGAAGCCCATTTAAGTTTAGTCAAGCTGATGGGAATGTTAAGGTCATCTCCACCACTGGGATTCTGCTTGGAGAGATGTTTCTAATGCGCCCTGACAGCACTTAGACAAGGTCTATAGTTATCACCACTGTTTATAAATCTAAGCTTATTTTCTCAGTAAAAATAACCTGTAGATATAAGCAATCGCTTCTAACTTTGAAAATGACAATTATGTTCTAGTTAGTGTTTGTATGATCTGGAAAAAAATAAGAAAGCAAGTGTTATATTTATATTTAGTGACATTAGAGTTTTATATAATCATAATGGCTTGGGAGTCACATTCTGCTTCTTTTAAACATGGATCTATGAGTCAATAGTCATAGGATGGAGAAAATATTTTAGTTGGTCATCGTTTGTTTAAAGAGAACAAAACCATTTATAATAATAAAAGTGTAATATGCTAATTAGACCGGACGTCCTTCCGGACGACCTTCCAGACGAAGCAGGGGCTGTGAGGGAAGCCTGCGTCCCTGTTGCCTGCCGGCGCCTGAAGGAAGCCTGGGTCCTGGGTGCCGGAGGGAAGCCAGTGCCGGCGGCCAGGGGAAGAAAGGGAACAAATTTCGCATCGGGCCTCTAGTAATACCATAAGGTTAACTGAGACACCTTAACATGTTTATTATCAAGAGATTGAAATCAGTATTAATGTTCCCATAAACACATAGCAAATATTTCAGTGTATTTTGGCAATGATATAATTTATATGATGACGGTTGTGGTGAGTGTTCAGAGACATTACAAGAAAAAAGAAGGAATCAGTTCCTGCCACAGTTTTGGACAGACAGGAAGTCCTCAAAAATGTTCATCTTTCCTCCATCACTTCTTCTTAGGAATAAAAAAGAATTTACCTTTTGATTGAGCTAAAGGAGTAATATTAACAGTCATTTTGTTATTCATTGGCATTCAAACATATATTAAAAAACTTTCGGGTATATATAATGATAGTCAAAGTAAAATTGCATAGTTTTAATCTTTTTATATATATATTTCTCATTGCTATGCTCAGCGTTTCTTGTTTTTCCTGGATTTTATACATCTTTTTTTTAAATTGTCCATGTTCAATATGCAATATTTGGAAGAGCTTGGGAATATTTGCCTATAGAGATTCATGTGATCCAGTGAAACATATAAAGCATATGCCCCTGAGTATTTAATATTATCATTCAAGAAATGATTATATTTAAGAAAAAATAGCTATCTACAATAATTTGTATTGTTCCCAGTATATAATAGGAGAATAGGCTTAATGTTCAGCTACTCTAGGCAGTCATTTGAATTTGTTTCATGGGTTCCTATTTCTCTTTATGTGTCTCCTGTTAAGCAGAGCAGAAATGTATATAGACAACAGCTTCTCAGCTCCTCTTTCTTACTTTCCATCATCTCAGTAAAGATCACAGGTCTCTTTCCCACCGGGACAGGGAACATATGTTTATTCAAGTGAGGCAAATTTATAACAAGTACCAGATACAATTTGGATTTTCAACATTACACAAAGTTTATTTTACACAAAGTTTATTTCTATTCACATTCAGACTTTTTGGATATCGTTCAAAGATACTAATTACTGACAACTTTCCTAGAGAAAGAAAAAACGAGAAGGATTTTAGGAATTTAACTAGAATGCTCTCGAGAAGTTCTTTTGCTGGTGAATTTTAAAATACAGACGCAAACGTGCATAACAACTTTCTTAATATCAAAGACGATTTGCGCATCGGGCCGCAAAGGATTTCTTGCATGAGTGAACTCTAAGAATTAGAATTTCATGTGCAGATTTTATCCCAAGCCTGGCTCATCAAGTCTCTTTCAGAAACCTGAACAAGAGCGATCCTTGGCTCCATGAGCTTTGCCCATCTATGTTTCTGTTCTTGGGAATTTTGGCCTCAGAACAACCATATCTTAGCCTGAGTGGAATGGCATTATTGAATAAATGTTCAACCGAGGCCCTGCTTTGACAAGCCTGTTTCTACCGAGGTTTCCCCTGTATACCACTCCTTCTCCCCACTCAGACACTTTCCTCATGATCGATTAGCAAACCTTCTCTCTTACTCTCCGTTAGGTTCTCAACATCTGCCCCGATAAAATTGCATTTTCTCTCTAAAAAATGTGCTTATTCTCTATCACCTCTTATGTAATGGTCTTGCTGTCCTTATAGACACCGAGACTCAAATTCTGGCATAAGCTTTAACCTCTGTTTTACCTTTGCCTCTGACAATTAGTTCTCCAGAATTTTTAAATTACCTGACCTCTCCTTTGTTTAATCCTTCCTAGAAATAATTAGGAAAGCTAATCTTCACTCACAACCTCCAGCCCTCTAATTGTGACCTCTCACTGATATTAGACTTCTCATGTGAACCAAGGAAATGATGCCTGAAATCAGAGGTTCCCAATATGTGGTCAAGGACTTCTGAGGGTCACGGAGACCCTTTCGGTGGTTCTGCAAAGTTAAAATTATTTTTATAAAATCATGAAGTCATCATTTCCCTTTTACATTTCATCCTCCCATGAGTGTGCACTGGAGTTTGCCAGAGATTATATAATGTGTGATATTGCAACAGATTCAATATAAAAGAAGTTATGTAAATCCAACTGACTTCCCAGTAAGCCACATATTAATGAGAGTCACAAAATTGTGAAGCAAAGTCACTCATCTCATTATTTCTTTTATATTTGAAAGTATATTTGTCCTAAAAATAATATTGATGTTAACATGTAACGAGTGTATTATTTTTTAAATAAATAAATATCTATTTTTTTAATCTTTAAGTTTTAAAATTATAAACATAAAGTGATAGAACCTATGTGAATAAAAGCTGTTTGGGGTTCTAAAATTGTTAAGAAGTCAAAGGAGTCCTGAGATGAAAAATTTGGAATATCTGACCTAAATAATTATCCTGCCTATAATAGCTTCTTCCAAAATATTAAATTGGCTTCTTTTTTTTGTCACTATCTACTTAAAATATTCAGTGACTTCACACTAACCACAGAAGATAGTCTAAAGGTTTTAACCTGCAATTCAAATCCCTATAGTCTGCTTCTTGACCTCCTCTCATGCACACTCCTAGGCAAAGGCAAAGCTAAGGCCTGAATAGTTCCACATGTAAAGATGCAGTGAGCCCTTCTGAGACTGAGAAAATCATGCTCAGCCAAAGCGAGAGTAGCCAAAGGTGCCAGATCTTCATAGTCCTTGTTCCACACACCACAAAGGCTGATACCTAAAGAAGAGAGGTTAGATAATGCCACACAAATCAGGAACCCTTCACTGGTGAGGAGGCAGTTCCATACTACAGCCAAGTGGTTTTAGGGTCTACAGCTCTGTTACAAAAAGATCTAGGAAGGAGAACCCAGGAGGCAATGAGAAGAAAACTCTCATGAAAGCCCCCTAGGAGAGATAGGGAGGCATGTGGGGGATGGCCTCACAGCAGCTCCTCACAGCATCCTCCCCATCTCCCAATCCTCTTATGTTCCAGAAGGATCACAAGCTACCTGTCAAGACTCAATTTAGCTGTGATTCAACCTTTGCCTGCTTGTCCTATATGGATTATGTACAAGACCATCACAGCACCATGAGGAGCCTTTTACCCTATATTCCCATCCAATTTCTTCCTTTATGTATCATACTAGTGCCCCGATGCATGGATTCATGCACATTGAAAGGATATTAATTAGAAGGTGGCCGGCAGGGCGGGACTGGGTGAGATGGGCCAGACAAACCCGGGAGCCAACCTTCCGTGGTTGCTCCCCAGCCAGCAGCACCTGGGGTGGTGCTGCAGCTCAAAGAGCATCTGCAGAGTAAGCAGGGGTCCCTCTGGCTGGTGGGGACCCTCGGCCTGGCCTGCGGGGATCTGGGTTATACCAGCTCTCCAACATCTCTCGAGGGGTCCTGGATTGCAAGAGGGCGGTTCTTGGGTGACACACACTGGAATCGGGCCCCCTGCTCTCTGGTTCTGGGGTGCATCACCAGAGAACTGCTGCTGCCAAGTCACTGCAGCTCGGCAGCTCCTGCACTGTCTGCCCCCTGGTGGTCAGTGCGCTTCATAGCTACTGGTTGGAGCGTCTGCCCCCTGGTAGTCATTGTGCATCATAGCTACCGGTTGGACGGTCAGACAGTCATTTAGTCTTTTATATATATGGATACTTCATCTATTCTAAGCCACTCTCAATTTTACACATAAAATGTGCTAGCTTGCCTTTGTTTCTGCTATTATCATAACAGAGCTTACCCTTTCTTTTTCTTCTATAAATATGCAATGTTTTCAGGGTCCAAAACAAATTCTCCTTCTTCTAAGACTTCTGTCTGACCCTCCCAATTACATATACTTTCTCTTTCATTTATAATCTCTCATCAGAGTTTATCTATAACTCCTACCATCACTCATGGTTTGCCACCCTGTACATCATATTACTTGTATTCATTTTCTTTCTATTCTGATTGACTTTAAGACTTTTGAGTAAAGGGGCCATGTTTAATTCACTTTTATCCCCTACAGGGACTAAAATATTTCCTCACTTCACACATCACTCAACAAATATTCATTCTGTGAATGAAGCAATAATGTAAGACTCAAGATAAATATAATAGCCAGAGGATTATGAGTAGGCACTTAATTTTTCATATCCAGGCAAAGAAAATTCCTTTTTATTATTGGGAGTTATTATCCAGTGAGCATTTTAGGGCTGGAAAATTATAGTCAATTGTTGGCAATTTCATCTCTGATGTAATTAATCACTAGCTGCTATTTGGGTTGCACAGCAGATCTCAGTAGATCCTATTCTGCTTCTTGATGAATTCCCACACAGGTTATCTTCTGAAAGATAGAGCTCCATTGAGAACTAGCCGGATTAGATTTATTGTTTCTTGTAACCGGAACAAGAGGAAGTAAAATAAAATGCAAAACTTCATGTAAGAATTAGTCTCAAGTTCCAGGGCTTCAGAACTGGAGAAATCGTGCTGAAAAACAACGCAAAATATCTGGTTTTGTAATTGAACACATATGTCAGTTGGGTCAGTTTCACAGAGTAGATGGGTACTTCATTACCAACATTATTAGACTACCAGAGAGTTATCTTTTCCCTTCAATGTCAATTGGTATTTCATTTCCTTCTGGCATCTCTTATGAAACATAATAGACCATACCTGGTACATTACTAAAGTTGAGTGAGTGATGGAATTGAACAGATTGCAAACACATCACTACTTTTGAATAACAGCTGCTACAGGCCTCAATGTTCTTAATAAAAGGCTCATTCAGATTATTGGGCAGATGGTTTTTAGGGAAGTGTAGTCGCCACATAAGCCTTTATGATATTTTTAAGCTGTTTTGGCAGAGTGCTGAGAGGGCATAATGAAGTTTAATAGCATGAGTATTAAAGGCTGGTACTTAATAGCTCTTAAGAGTCAGAATGTGATCTTTCAATTGCAAGCATTATATTTTTCGGTTACTTGAGTATTTTACTTGTGTAAGTCTGCTGCTCTGTTGGCTCCAAAAGATGATTTTTAATGACATCATTTTAAGTTAATTTAACTATGCTTTCCTGTTCTTACACGCAAATATAGTGAACTTTTTAAAGGTCTAGTTCAATAGACCGTGGCTTGTTATTTTTTACATTTCAACTTCATGAAATATTTTTTTAATCTCAATAAGTGTTATACTCTACCTGATCCTGAACTGCATATTATTTTTTCTTTCATTTTAGTACAATTGCTATTTAGTACAATATATTATCAATTCTTATTAGTAGGAAGAAAGAAAACAAATTTAAAACAACAGACATTTTACAGACATGCATATTGTATTTAGCTTTCCACACCTATCTCATGCCAGCATCTAGCTGCAGAATGGGGCATTTGGCAATAACCTTGCCCTAGTCTGCCACATTTATCCTCAGTCTGTTTCAACATTATTCCCAAGCTTTATTTCAATTGTATTCCTGAATAACTATGGGCTCATCATGCTCTGTTTTCCACGTTGGCAGCATTCTGGGCTCAAAAGATACTCAGTGAAGATCACTGGATTTCTTGGGCAGGCAGAAATCCCGCTCCACTATACTGGGCCAAACACATTGAAAAGTCATGATGGCCATTGAACTATCCACTTCAGACTTTCAGCTGCTGGACTATAGAAATCCATGTCTTTAAACAGAAGTAGGCACTATATACTGTTAATATATAGTCAGGTAAATGACAAAGATGATATTTATTATGTCATTATATAAAATTATTTAATAGGTTATTTTTCTATATATTTAAAGTACTCACTTGATTAGGATAATTATTCATGAAGGAAATGAATGTGAAAGTGCTTGCAAAGCACTTGTGTTTTAGATAGCAGATTTAACCCAATCCATTATAGTTTCGGATGAGAAACAATAACGAGAAAAAGATTGATTTCTTTGTGGGGAAGGTGGTGAATATTAATAAAGTCTAGTCTAAAATTCGTTTACTTTTAGACATAATAATCTTTAGAAATGTTTACTGAATAAATAAATGTTGTGTTCCATGCACCTATCATTTTGAAAAATAAGGCTTGTTTGTTTTTTTCCTATGTGAAACATATCCTTATTACAGAAAAATTATAAATTCAGAAAGAAGTTGAAGAAACATCGTTTTAATGACAGTGTATTCTTTATAGTCCCCCTACTGTTTAATATTCCAAACATTTAGAGGTGTAAAACAGTGACGTTAAAAAAGCATGGTGTAGCTCAGTGGTTGAGTACCAACCTATGAATCAGGAGGTCAGTTGGATTCCTGATTGGAGCATGTAACCAGATTGCGGGCTCAATCCCCAGTAGGGGGCGTGCAGGAGGCAGCCTGTCAATGATTCTCATCATTGATGTTTCTGTCTCTCTGTCCCTCTCCCTCCCTCTCCGAAATCAATAATATATATATTACATATGTGTGTATGTATACATTATATATATATATATATATATATAGAGAGAGAGAGAGAGAGAGAGAGAGCGAGCGAGCTTGAGCGCTTTTAGGGGGAAATACAGAACTATAATTATTACATGAAAAGCATGCTCATTTTTGTGGCTTTCTGGATTCTTCCCAAGTTGTTTTCCTGAAATGTGCTTTCAGCTTACAATTCTATGGGAGAAGGTTGATACTCTCATTGCACTGCCACATGTTCTTACATAACAACTCAGTTGACCATCTAACAGTTCTTGTGAACAGGTTCCTGCTCATTGTCCTCTTCAAACATTTTAGGTCCGTTAGTTCTTTGTGGAAGTAAAATCATGCTATGAACCCATCTCACCATAAGGCACACAGATCCATTAACTTGCAAACTGTTAGTGGATGTCTACTGTTCTAGGTTCTAAGCCATACAATTGTTAACCAGAAAAGAGTTTATTTACCTTTTGCAAGTAGCAATTTGTGGTTCATTGTTATGATTCTAATTTCACTAATATTGGAGAATTTCAAAATACAGTTACAGAAGAGGTAAAAGAAAGAACACAGAGTATAAGAAATAAAATATTCTAAGCAAAAATCTAAGTTAACTTGCCTCCATCCTAAATTAAATGAGCTCAAAGGCCTCTTTATTTTAAAGCGATAGGAATGGTAGTTTCATGGCCTATATTTTGGAAATAACATATTTCTCAGATCTAAGTTGAATAACCAAAAGACTAAAAATAAAATAGATGTCTGCTGACCACTGAATACACTTCACTAAATAGCAGTTACTAAGCATAATGATGTGTTCATTAGTAACCCATAAGCCAAAATCCACCAGTTTCTTTTCCATTACAATTGGAATAATTGAATGTTTATATTGAAAATGTATTGATTATTCAAAGAGAGTACAACATATTTCACCTGGACTGCTTGAGATTGAACAAATGAAAAATGTTGCAAACTAAAATCATGGACTCCAGCTAATTTTTATAGAAACAGATCATATATTGTTCAGATTGTCTTTCTATGAAAATATTATTAACTTCTTTTATAGATACAATGTAATCTCTATGCAAATTATATATGGTTATTTTTTCTTACTTTTTCATATTTTGTACTTCAAAAAGTTTCTCACTTCCTATCTCATTCTCAGACTCACCCTCTTAAAAAAATTCTCTTTAAGCCCTAAATTCTAAAAATATGTAATCAATCCATTTTGTTGAAAATGATTTCAAGGTGAATGAACATTTTGTTGTGAGCTAATCAGTTGTTGATTGAACTTATCTGCTTTATATCTTTGTGTTTTCAGATTCCAAGAAAACAAAAACATCTGCAGAAGGTATTGGATATATTTTCTGATTCTGTTTTATATTTGATGAACCCCAATTAGCATTACTTTTTAAAGGATTAACATAGAAAAAAACTATACATATGGGAAAGAGGAGAGAGGAAAAAATACTGAGGTTGAAAGAGAGAAAGAAAAAAAAACAAGAGTTGAGTCTATTCTGATAATACTGCTCTGAGAAATATTTGTCAGTAATAAAAAATAAAAACTGTATAATAAATAATAAATAAAAATTACCTTTCACAGTAATTGTTTTCAAAGACATATTTGCTTGACAAAAAAAATTGGACAATGCTTACTACCAAGCATTTATTTCACTGGAAAGTATAAATTCAATTAATCTTTGATACATCAGCATTAAATAGGAAACTAAATAGTTTCTTTGTGTTGAATAGAATCATAAGTCATAGCAAGTATACCCGTTTCTTCTGTATTTATTTGTATGTGTTTTTGTGTTCACATGTATTTATGAAGACTGCAAGGTATAAATTATTTAAAGTGGTTAGACATTTGGTCCTAGGTTAATTCATTGTCAAAGAGTATATTACAATCAAATTAAGGAAACACCTATAATAAGCAGCAATACCTCAGAGCAGCACTCACTGTGAAACTTCAGGGAAGAGGATGAGGGAGGGGTTGACAAAAGTATAGTCTAACCAGTATGTTGGAGAAGTAAATTTTATCTTTAATGTTTTTAAGAGCAATGGTTTTCTTTCAACAGAACAACCCAAGGGGAAAAGTAAGGAAATGCATGAAAAAATGTGTGTGTGTTTTCTCTATACTACTACTACTGGCACATGTGGACTTGCAGTTTCCAGTCTCCCTTTTCTACATTTTATGCACGTGAATTATTTGTTGTTGTTTTTTATCAAGATGAAAAAACACAACCTGGGAGTGGGGAGGGTCAGTGTGAACTGCAAGGCATGTTATATTCTTAGAGTCCTTTTTGAAACTCACGTAATCATCTAATAATATTATCCAGAGCCTCCTAACCTAAAATACAGCTGTATCCACTAACCAAAACTGTGGGTGTAATTTAATCTTGATAATCTGGTTAGTTCTGTCCTTAGCAAAGACTGAATAGTAATTCTTATACAGACCAGTTTTACAACTTCTCTTCTATTTCTTTCTTTCTTAAAATCCAAAATACCTTGGCATGTTCCCATGATATCTAACATTTTGTCCATACATGAATTTTCCTCCATTGCTTGGGATCCATATCTTAGGCAGCACCTGCAGTTGCTTTGACACACAGTACTGAAGCTATTTGCTAACAATTCAGTAAATCCTTGAGGTCATGTCCTTTGCAAACATATACTCTCCTCTAAAGAAAATAGGTCATAATTAAGAAATAGAAATAAAGATCCTTACCTTAGCCATATTCAATTAGCATTAGAAACCAGAGGTTTTAAAGATCCCAATAATATTAAAATCATGTTTTAAAATGCACACCAAATTTAAAAACTATGTATGCATGACTTGGTCCTGCAAAAAGGTCAGGATGCTGAGGAAGTCTCTGTCATGAAAATGCTCTAAAATATCCTGTGGAGAGAATCATGAAATTATACTACAGCTCAGCCAGGGGGAGCAATCGGTCTATAAAGAAGGTTGTGATTTATGTGTGTGCAAAGCGGCTGAGGAGCGCTGGCACAGGAATACAGAAACCACTCTATAAACCATCGCACCAAGAGGAAAATGAGAAATAGCTGGAGATTTAAAAAATGGTATTAAATTGTGCGTATATATTTTTATATATGCAAAATATATGTAGGGTTATATATATTCTTAAAGTCCTCACTTCTTCGCAGTCTATATGATTTAAAATTTCCCGCAGATTTTCTGAGGATCCTTGGCCATCTTCATTCAGGACATTGATGTAGTTAATAAATAGAAAAGCCTTCTTAGAAGTCCATTTACATCTCAACTGCTTTCCTCTTTGGAAAGATCTGTGGATTTTGAATTGGGCAGCAGTAAGGAAAAGAAAAAGATTTGTCCTCTAAACAACTATTGATTCTTTTCAAATTAATATATTTTGTTCTGGTTTATCATCAAAACATGTTTTTATTGTTATTGTTGCATTTTTAAATTTGTTTGATTTAGGGTGTTGTTTTTTTGTCTTTAAGATCACTTCATTCAATTATACATCTCCAACCCAATATTCTTATTTTGTTCCTACTTTTCTAGTTAACACAGCGTAAGAGGCTGTATTTTGTCTTAGCTTAAAAATAAATCATGTCATGGTAGGGGGCACAGGGTGAAGAGCACATGAGACCTTCCTGTACATATTTTTGTAAATTCCTGTGACTTAAAATTTTTTCAAAAAACAAAAAAAAGAAAAAACTCAAAAATAGTTCCATGCTGTTCTGTGACAGAACTCTGTGAAGGGAAGTAGAAGGAAATACTTGTTCTGAATATACAATATTAGTCTTTTTAGAGCAGTTATTACTTGCCACAGTCCTGCATTAGCACACACATGTTTCTTTGTGTTAAGACAATTAAGTTTGGATGCACAAAATTGGAATAATAATAATAATGTTAATAATATGTTTCAGAACAGGAAAAGAAAGAAAAACATACAGAACCAGGTAACCATTTTTAATTGCCTCTATCTTCTTAATTTCAAGATACTACTTAATTTGCCGTTACATACGGAATTGTGATCTAATAACATGAAATGTTGACTTTTTTCTTGTCTTGTTTGATACAGCAAAACCACCAAAGAAGGAACATTCAGGTGAGTCAGGCCAGTGATTCTGGGTTCTTTCTACCAGATGCCCAGTGTTTATTAATGCTGCAGCTCAAAGGGCAGTGAGGGCCATGACAGGAACGGGCAGGAAATTCTTCTCTCACTCCTCCTCACCCCATCCCAACTTCTTCACATAGAGTTAACACTACTAAAGTTTTAGACATTGAAAGACAAATATTACGTGACACTCCTGCTACTCAATGTATGCTGTGGACCAGCAGCATCAGAACCATCTGGACTGGAACCTTGCAAGCAAAGCGGAATCTCTGGTCCCACGCCAGGCTACTGAATTAGAATCTGTGACCTCCTAAGATCCCCTCTGAGAAGCACTGTTTTACAGTTTAGTGTAAAAAAAAAAAGAAAAAACAAAACAAAATAAGATCAAATGCTGTCTGTAATTGTGTCTGGTATTGCTTTCCTTTTAAAATATGGAATACTGAGCCCAACCGGTGTAGCTCAGTAGTTGAGCATCGACCTATGAACCAGGAGGTCACAGTTCAATTCCGAGTCAGGGCACATGCCCGGGTTGCAGTCTCGATCCCCAGTGTAGGGCATGCAGGAGGCAGCTGATCAATGACACTCTCTCATCATTGATGTTTCTATATCCTTCTCCCTTCCTTTCTGAAATAAATAAAAATATTTTTTAAAAAATATATGAAATATTTCATTTAAGCAAATATTCTCTCCCTGTTCCAAATGCTTAAGTACTCTGGCATTTCAATGAGAGTAGAGTAGATTTTCCCCTCAATGTATTTATAGTCTAATAGTGAAAAATTGAATTGGGAATCAGACAACCAAAAAAATAAACATAAAAAAACACAAAAACTAAAAATGCATAGTATATATATTAAATGGTTTTCTTAAAAGTTCTAGCATTGAACTTGCCCTACTCGTGGTTTCAGATAAAAATAAATGCAAATTTCTGAAATTTTTTATTGACCTCATTTTATAACATAATCTGTTGATTTTGCCTGGCACACTTCTACTCAAGGAACTGCATTGATTTTTCTTGTATATCTACTAGTCACTCCTGCTATTTTATTGTATTTCTATTAAAATAGCATTTACTTAATATTATGTAAATAACCATGCAAATATAGCTTTACCATATTCTTACCTGTTCCATAGACCACAAACTGCCACAGGTATGAAATCATATTTCTAAATCTTCTTCCAACTTTATAATATTCCTCAGACAACCCAAATCCATTTATGTGTCTCTCCAACTAGTTCTCACAGTGTCATTTTCTTTCTTTTATAAAGACACTTAATATACTGATATAATCATATTACCTTTTCTTTTTTTCACTTTAAATAACCATAATTTAGAGGTTAAGGATTGCCTTTTATATCTCAATTCCCAGAGTGCTCATTCTGAAGTCAGCATATAGTGTGCACTTGATAATGGTTGATTGAATGGAAAGAGAAATATCAAGTAGGATAAGAACATTTATTTAAAGCATTTAAATATGAGTGACTTTCAAATAATTTACCATATAAAATAATCGCACATTTAACCACTTCATGTTAACATTGCTGTTACTTATCCTTTCAAAAGGAATTTTGTTGTTTATCTCACAGAAAACAGACTATTTGGTCATGGGTAACATTTCCACAAGTGGGCATTACACATATTCTCACTTATATACGCAGAAAGCTAAAACAAAGCAACAACACAGACACATAGAGAAGCAACAGAATGACTATGAGTGTAATCAGTTTCAAGAGTTTTAATAACTAAACATTATTGTCTAGTACTGAACCTGACAAAATACAATAATTTAAATTCCTTAAAATCATTATCTGCTCAGTCTAGGGATTCATGATAATATAGAAGCTTACCAATAATTAACTTTATTTTAAAATTTTAAACCATTGGATAATTTATGAATTCACTTCACTTTTTATACCATTTTATATACTTCAAGAAAAATGAATTGGCTTGTATATGAAAACAATAAGATTCTTAGATATTTTAGAATGGAAAACAGAATGAATAAGTTATGAATGAGCATTCTATGTTGGGAGAAGGTATACGAATATGAAAAAAGAATTATGGTCTATGGCATATATTTAAATAAAGTACATCAAAAGAAATGGCACAGTGTTGCATTTTCTCCTCCTCAAATCTATTTTTATTAGTTTCCATTTAAAAAATGAAAATAACCTTAAAGATATGTTAGAGACAAGTAGATGTGTAATTAATTTAGACATTATTTCTTGTCTTTATCAGCTCCAAGTGAAAAAGAAGTAAAAGCAAGTATGTTGAATAAAACATTAAAAAATAAGCTTATTTCAGCAGCTTACTCACTTAAGTTTTCTGTTCTAGACAATGCTAATGCTGATTTTTAAAGCTGGCTTACCAAATATATTTTGCTATGTGCATTTAATTTGTTGCAATAACATGCATAAATAGTTAACCTTATATTTTCTGTGAGCTCATTCTTATTAAAATTTCTCTATAGATTTTCATTTGTAAATGTTAATTTTTCCAGATCATAATCCCTTTTTGAGTTTTTTGTATTTTAGTTTCCCCTTCTGCAGAATGTTAATTGATTTCTTCAGCTTCTTAAACACATCAGACTTAATATTTCTAACGATTAATCACTTTGTCAAACCAGTAGGCAACATAATTTGTCTACTAGTGAAGTCATTTTGTCTTTAATAAAATGAGGCCCCCCAAATTTTATTAATTACTACTGTTGTAATGTCATAGTTTTCCTTTTAACGTCTGTATCCTCACATTGTAAATATTGACTGATAACTATAATATACTGTGGCATCTGCTTCAATCGTAGCAAATACTCTTAGAGAGAAATGCTAATTATTTTGTCAGTATTTCTTAATTCAATACAGTACCTAACAGACTGTCATTAATAAAAATTATTTTGGCATAATTGCATGTATTTAATTTTAGAAAAATATACTTTTAGATTCTCTAAGCTTTTTGTATAGGGATTTATGGCTAAAACTGTATTGTATGCATAATGTGTTAATATTTTTTTCTTTTCAGTTAGAGCTCCTTCAGTATTAAAAAAGTACTGATACATAAAACAAATTCATTTTTCTATTTAGTTCTGGGTTTTTGAGATAGTATATAATTTATGAATCTATCAGAAAAAAATTGAAAATATAATGTTGAGTAACTTATTGAAAATGTCTTTTAAAAATTACACATGGAAGTGTTCATATAGTCATAGTAGACTTTAAAAGAGAAAGTTTACATGAATTTCAAATTCCATTTATATTCCATAAAAAAATTTAGTTAATATAAATCTGATTGGAACTTTATATTATGAAGTCTTTAGGATGCTAATACTTGGTCTGTAGAAATGCATTACCAGAAATATATATAAAACAAAACTGATAACTTTGCAATATTAGTAGAAAAATTTAGATTGATGATTACTCTGAAATGAACATTTTCTTCATAAAAAAATAACATGTAGATAAAAATATTCATTTGCAATAAAAAAACCCTTATAAGTCCTGCTATCTACGAGACACATTATCAAATCAACTTTTGAAGAGATCAGCATCGTTTCCACAAAATTAAGTTGCCAAATCATTTTCAACCCAATATAAAAGGTGCAAAAGAATTCAATTCCTTATATTGTTGAGAGATTTGGACTTTATATAGGTATATCTCTCAAGATAAAAATTCATTAGGGATAATTCATAATTGTTTAAATTCTCTGCTAACAATGGAATCAGCCATTTCCCCTCTGGGAAAAACATTTATTTGGCCTTAAAACCATACTATGTAATTTTTATTTTTACATGGTACTATATGCAATAGGTTGTGTGTAAAGTTAATGCCTAAGGTAAAAATTGTGTATCATTACAAATACTTTTAAAATTCCTTAAATCACCCATATATTATGGTGTACATAGTTTTGCATATATAACTAACGTTTGGGATATTAATTCACATCACCTTAAATTATGAGACAATTGAGAAAGTACGATACCTAGTTTAGTGAAGATGAAGTGTGTATGTGATGTGATTCCATGGTATTGAATTTTAAAAGGTAGGTAAGATTGACTGGGTTAGAGCAAGCCCATGGAAAGAGTAAGAGGTGACATATTATTGGCACTCACTTGAATGGAATAGCTAGAATGGTGATTGAGTTTGTGGTGTGAAATTGTTTAGGTCCTAAGGAAGCCAAAAATCAGTATAGGGAAAATACTGAAGGGCACAGACAAGCTGGAGATCTATATCTTAGTTTCCTGTGGATGACAGAAAACTTCAACTTTAATTAGTCTTGATTTGAGGTCCAACATTTTGTACTGGGACCAGCATTTTAGATTATGCTTAAAGGCAGCTCTCCTATCTTCCACACTAGATAGTCAGAGAACCTCCAAGAAAGTATTTTGGCCTTTTTGATTCTATATTTTTTCTCTCTCAAAGCAATCAATATTCAAATAAAATTTGTGTTATATTATGGCTAATCTCTTATAATGCAAAGCTAATTGATTGATGTCAAATACTTCTTGATATACCATAATTAAAGGCCAAACAGAGAAGGCCTTTTAAGTCCTCTTTCCTATAACTCATATCATTTTAGATTTAATTATAAACTAATAAATTAGTATTCCAGTGTATTTTCTGGAATAAGCTACCTGCTTTTATGGTCACTACTTATATAAGCTAACATTTTGATATTGCATTGTGAAATCCTGGAAGAGAGTGTCTGTATTGCTACTTAAAGAAGTTCACCACCGTAGTTTATAAAAATACACGTGCCTTATAGTTAGACTTTCTCTGCTGCTTGATTTGCTCTTAGGTGCCACATACATTTTATCTTTTGGATAAAAGTTTAGTCTTGTCTGACTTACAATACTATCGATACCCACCTGGCATCTCTGATACTTATTTCTCATTTCTCATTCTTTACCATCTGAATTTTGCAGAAATTGATCGAGCCAAGGAAGAGGCTGGAGCTGCCTCCACTAAAAAAGGTAAATGCAACTTAAAGAAAAAGGTGTCATGACTAAAGCTTATTTCTGCACAGGTTTCTAAATGTTTCATGTAGTGCCTATTAAAGAGTTCTATTTATTGATTTCACTATTTTTTTTTATATGGAAACAAATTCACTTTGCATAAGATTTATAGTGTCTATATTAACAAGGTCTTGCCTTCAGTGTTCTGATGCCAATAGTTTCATTCCTTGGGGCCATAAACTAAAACTAGTAATTGCAGTTCAATTTCAAGTTCGTTTCTGAAAAATTGAAGAAATATAGCTGTTCAAGTTCAGTGGGTTCCCAATCGCCTGGAGAGAGCATTCAACTACAAAATACTGCCCGAGGTGGTTAGAGCTCAAACAAATGAAACTTTGACTAAGAGAACTTACATGAACAATGGACCTTTGGGGGAAGAATAATATCAGATTTTAAAATGTGTTCCTTGGAATGCTCACTTGGAAACACTTTGCTTTAAGAAACACATTGGAAAGTTTGGAATTTAAGTTTTCAAAGTTATTTTTCTTGCCAACGTCCCTTCTCATTTCCCATTAGGTTGAGACTTCTGTCCCTACTGTGTCATTAATGCTTTTACTAATGGGGATGACATTATCATTACTAAACCAATAAGACCATTCTAGTTCTCACATGACTAGATTTTTCAGTTGCACTTACCATTTTGTTTCTTCTCTCACTTTTGGGTTATCATGCCAACATAGTTTCTGAGTTCTCCTAATATTCTCTGATATTTCTTTCTGACTTCTTTCTGTTTTGTCTTTTTCTACACCTTATTCATTGATGCTCCCAGATTCCATTATTAAACCTCTGAATTTCTCATTCTACAACCTCTCTTTGTGAAATATGTCCACTCTCAAGGTTGAAACTCTGTTCCCAATTCTATGTTGTCATTTCAAGACTTCATGAAAATGCTTTTCCCAGAAAATTTCAGCCTTGTATGTTCAAATGCCCAATAAACAGCTTTAAATTCAACCTTTTAAAAAATATATTTTATTGATTTTAGAGAGGGAGAGACAGATAAAAACATCAACGATGAGAGAGAATCACTGATCAGCCACCACCCTCATGCCCCCCTCCCACTAGGGACCGAGCTCCCAACCAGGGCATGTGCCCTGACCAAGAATCGAACCATGACGTCCTGGTTCATAGGCCAATGCTCAACCACTGAGCAACACCAACCGGGAAAATTCAACCTTTCTTAACCTAAACTCCTCATTTTATTTTTCCATCACCATTAATCCCCTCTATGCCCTGTTCACTTCCACCAATCCCCTCCTCCTCCCTTAATCTGCTGTCCATGTCCACGAGCTCTCTCTCTCTTTTCTTTCCCCTTTTCCTTTCCTTTCCTTTTCCTTTCCTTTCCTTTCCTTTCCTTTCCTTTCCTTTCTTCCTTTCCTTTCCTTTCCTTTCCTTCCTTTCCTTTCCTTTCCTTTCCTTTCCCCTTTTCTCTTTCTTTTCTTCTTCTTTCTTCCTTCCTTCTCCCTTCCTTCCTTCCTTTTCTTTCTTTCTTTCTTTCCTTCCTTCTTTCCTTTCCTTCCTTTCCTTCCTTCCTTCCTTCCTTCCTTTCTTCCTTCCTTTCCTTCCCTTCCTTCCTTCCTTCCTTCCTTCCCTTTCCTTTCCTTCCCTTCCTTCTTCCTTCCTTCCTTCCTTCTTCCTTCCTTCCTTCCTTCCTCCTTCCTTCCTTCCTTCCTTCCTTCCTTCCTTCCTTTCCTTCCTCCTTCCTCCTTCCTTCCTTCCTTCTCCTTCCTTCCTTCTTCCTTCCTCCTTCCTTCCTTCCTTCCTTCCTTCCTTCCTTCCTTCCTTCCTTCTTTCTTCTTTCTTTCTTTCTTTCTTTCTTTCTTTCTTTCTTTCTTTCTTTCTTTCTTTCTTTCTTTCTTTCCCCCCTCAATCCCTTCATTGCCTGCCTTCTCTCTATCTATGAATCTATCTCTATTTTGCTTGGTAGTTCAGTTAGTTCATTCAATTCCACATATGAGTGAAAACATATGGTACTTGTCTTTGACTGGCTAATTTCACTTAGCATAATGCTCTCCAGTAAATGAGTGGATAAACTAATTTTCTCTTCTCAATTTGCAACTCATTACCACTGGTGAAACCACAATCCATTCTCCACCTTACTAGAAATCTGGGGGCGACTGAGTTTTCTTTTTTTCCCCTTCACTTAATATTCAAAGAATCTTCAAGTTCTGCTGATTTTATTCCCTAAATATTTCTTGAATATATTTCCTCCTATTCATAGCCATGCCTTTAATCTGAATTCAAATCTTCATTGTTTTATGTTTAACCATTATAACAATCTCACCACTTTCCTCATCTCCTTATTTTTATTTCAGTAATATTCATCTTACCAGAACTCCCAGTACAGTAAAAATAAATTATCAAAGTCTTAAAACAGAATAAACCACTCTTAATTTAAAACTCTCTCCCTAGCTGGTTTGGCTCAGTAGATAGAGCATTGGTATACAGACTGAAGGGTTCCAGGTTTGATTCCATTCAAGGGCACATGCCCGTGTTGCAGGCTCGATCCCCAGTAGGAGGCATGCAGGAGGCAGCCAATCAATGATTCTCTCTCTTCATTGATGTTTCTATCTCTCTCTCCCTCTCCCTTTCTCTCCCAAATCAATAAAAAAATATTTTAAAAAGAGAGAGAAATAAAAACATAAACAACAAAAACTCTCTTTTCCCCAATTGTCCATAAAATTAAGTCCAAGCTTGTTAAAACGACGTAAAAGTCTCCCAAGATCTGGTTCTTATATCACTTTCAAACTTCATCTTATGGAGTTTGCTTCAGTGGGGCTTTAGTGCTCACTGAGTCTGCCCCTTGAGTGCATCACTTATGGATGTGAAGAGTTGTAATCTGGTATGGTCTGACACTGATCACTGGGAACACTGGCTCTTGGGGCGCTAGGGAGGTGTAAAGTCAGCCACTGCCTGGGGCCACCCAGCAGGGGCTACAAAGAGATCTGCAGATTCCTCCTCTTTGTATCAGGTTTGGAAGTGCCCAGACTAGGACCAGCTGTGAAGCAAGGCAGGCTGGTGCTGGTGCATGTCTTGGGCATTTTATTGATAGGTTTGGGGCTCCCTGGCCCAGCTGCAGCTTGTTTGACAGGATTTTAGCCTGAGCAAGGACACACCATTCATATGCAAAAGCTGCTGTACACAGCTTGGGTGAGGTTGTAAATTGGGTGGGGCGGGGTCTCAGGGAATCACCAGGGTGGAGCAAACAGCAATGGCTGCCAGTCAGCCCTGCATTGAGGAGGTCCCAGCATGAGAATAATGCCTGCTGCTAGCACCTCTGTCTGGAAGAAAGCCACCCCCAAGTTCCTGCCCCCATGCCAGACAGAGCCTCACCCTGGTGCTGGAGTTCAGAAGAAGCGGGAGCTTGTAAGTTCAGTTCGTGGTGCCAGCCTTTTAAGAGGAGCAGCTGGGTCTCCAGCAGCCTGTGTATCACCGAGCCCCAATCCGTACTGGTTTTAACAGCCCGTAGTTCTTACTGCTGTAGGGACTTCTTTTCCCAACTCTGGGACCCTAGGCTGGAGGTCTGGTGTAGAGCTGGGTGTGTTGCTCCTCCCAGGTGGCCTCTGCTAAAACCATCTCCCTCCTGATTAAAAAAGCAGCCATGTGGGTGCCGGGCCAGCCCGTTCTGCGCCTCCACACCTCCTACCAGTCTCCGTGTGCTTTCTTCTTTGCCTCTCTAGTTGTAGGACTTCCATTCAGCCAGCTTTCCGGTGGTTCTGGCTGATGGTCGTTCTGTATTTTAGCTGTAATTTTGATGTAGTTGTGGAAGGCAGGAGTACAGGCATTTGCCTATGCCACCATCTTGGTTCTCTCCATTACTTTTTTAGAAACATTTTTTCAATAAATTTGAAAAATTTTAATTAAACTGATATTTTGAATCCATAATGATAATTCTTCTCCAAGGAAAATTTTAACCAGATGGCTTCAGTGGTGAATTCTTTCAAACATTTAAGGAAATATTAATCTGCACCAAACCTTCCAAATATAGAAAATAAGGAACATTTACTCATTTTAACCTTAATATCAAAACCTAACAGGAGCTGAAAAAGAAACAAAATATGAAGACTAACTTCTCTTGTGAATATGAAGGCATAGACTTGAGCAGATCAAGTCTGATAATATATGTGCAAAATAAAATGTAAACAAATTTGTTTTATTTTTTAGGAATGAAATTTATTTATTTATTATTTTTTAAAATATATTTTTATTGATTTCAGAGAGGAAGGTAGAGGGAGAGAGAGAAACATCAATGATGAGAATCATTGATCGGTTGCCTCATTCATGCCCCACACTGAGGATTGAGCCTGTAACCCGGGCATGTGCCCTGACTGGGAATTGAACCATCACCTTCCTGTTCATATGTTGATGCTCAACCGCTGAGCCATGCTGGCCAGGCTTCAAGAATTAACCAGAAAATCAATGTAAATCAATGTAATTAACCAGAATAATAAAATCACAGGAATAAATAAATGCATCATAATAGATACATTTGATATAATTCATCGCTAGAGTAGAAAGAAACTTCCTTAATCTGTTAAGATATACTTTTAAAAAACATTAACAAATAGTATAGCCACTGGAGAAAAGTGGAAAGGTTTTCTCCTAAGAATTAGAACAAGACAAAGGTGTATGCTATCACCACTGTTACAAATTGTACTGGCTATTGCAGCAGTGCAATAAGATGAGAAGAAGAAATAATAGGTACAAGAATAGAAAAGTAAGAATAAAACTCATTACTCACAGATGAAATTATCTACTTGAAAATTTCAAAAGAATGTGCAGATGAACTATTATAATTAATGAGTGATTTTAACAAGTTTTCTGTAAAAAGCAATTCTCTACCTATCTGGTTCTTCATATTAAATTTCTGAAAAGATCATGGCCACTTACACTGTAGACATCTTTTATTGTTCTGATTGTTTCTTCAGAATGCCATTTAAAATGTTCTGCATATCCTATGTTTGATTAAGAAAGCTAAATCTTTGGCTTAGCTGGATTCCAGTTGTTTTGTCAAGAATATTTCAGAGGTTATACTACATACAACACAGTTCATTTCATTAGGAAGCAAATAGTATGTCCTATTATGAATAAACTAGAGGCCTAGTACACGAAATTCATGCACATGGGTGGGGTGGGGGGTATCCCTCAGTCAGGCCTGCACCCTCTTGCAATCCGGGACCCCTTGGGGGATGTGTGACTGCCGGTTTAGGCCTGATATTGTAGGGATCCCTATGGGATCAGGCCTAAACCAGCAGTTGGACATCCCTTTTGCAATCTGAGACCACTGGCTCCTAACCGCTCTCCTGCCTGCCTATCTGCCTGATCACCCCTAACCACTCTGCCTGCCTGCCTGATCGCCCCTAACGGCCTCTGCCTCAGCCCCCACCGCTGCAGCTTCATCCAGAAGGACGTCCATAATGACGTCTGGAAGGTCGTTTGGCTGTCCGGTCTAATTAGCATATTACGCTTTTATTATTATAGATGGTTCCGAGTTTCATCAACGAGTTAGGCTGGTGACAAGCACATTTCTTTATTTCAAAATTGCATTTTTCCCCTTTGCAACTCTGTGTGGTGATACTTGGCTGTAATGACAATATTCAGTTCCCCACTCATCTTTCATCTAAAAGTTGGTAATATCCTCTGAAGGTCTTTCCTTGAATCAATTATTTCAGTGTGGTACGCTGATTTTGTGTGAATCATTTTTACTATTTCGATGTATAAATAAGTAAGTAGTGAATACTCCACTGAGACCAACAAGCCTCAGAGAAAGCATAGTTCAGAGGAAACAGCACCTAAATGGCAATCTTTTTTCTCTTTTGGTTACTTGCAACTTCAGTTAAGGTTTAAATAAATCTCAAGGATGACTACACTGTCTTGTCAGTGGATGCAGCTATATTACGCTTGAATTTAAAGCAACATCTCATAGACATTTTTAAGATGCTAAATAACTCCTGCAATAACCTGAAATGTAAGTGGATTACTCATTGTCCTGTCAAGTGGAATTCTTTGTAGAGCATGTTTAATGTTTATCAAAGCTGAGGATAAAGAATAAAGTAGAAAATAGTGTGGAAAAGCTAGTCATAAAGTCAAGTGATTTTTTTCCCCCTCTAATTCTACAAGATTAGATTTAATATAGGTTTCAATTGGACTATTGGGAAATAAGAAATGTTGGGAAAGCTTTGAAAACTAGCTTGTTTGGGAGAAATAGCGGGCGCTGAATAGGTAAACATGCTTTTTTTTTTTAGCAGACGTAGCATTTCTATCAGGCACTTTTATCTAACCTTTATCTCTGCTTCGCAGGCGTACCTGGAAAGAAGGAAGAGAAAACCAAGGCAGTAGAGCAAGGTAAAAAACAATGAAGGAGGTTGACACTGTCTTCTTTAGAAAGACAGCAGCGTGAGGAGAGCCCTGGACTCAGACAGGCGGAAGACAGTAAGCTTTACCTCGATTGCTGCCGCTGTCCCCCATGTTTTTCTGGGCCAGGGGGAATGTGAGGCAGCGATCTGGGTTTTGCTCTTTTGTATAATTAAACTTGGGATATAAGTTCAGAACAGGAAAACTCTGCAGACTGCTTAATTACATCAGAAAAAACCCTGAAGATTGTTGGGAATAAGGAAATGATCCTCCGGGGCAACTGGTAGACATTGTTCAGTTTGATGTGTGGTTTTAACAACACCTGACCAAAACCAGTTAAAAGAATAAAGATGAAACAATTCCATTTATGCCCAAACAATTTCTACTGCTTAAAGAACATGTAACAGTTAAAACAAAGAAAAAAGCAGCAACAGAAGTAAATCACTTGAGTTTCTATTATGACTTCAGCTATTGATTCTCCCAAGAGGTTGGCATTTTTAATTTTTTATCTGTCATAATGCTATAAGTAATGCATTTTAATTTTTGTTTATGCAGCTAAATAATACATATGTCACTCCAGAATATGCTTGAGAAAAATTCTATAGCAGAGTAGAGTTAAAACATTTAAAATAATGTTAGGTCTTCTGTTAGATATCAGAGTTCTACTAATTTTAATAGTTGCCCCCAATCCTTTCACATTTTATTTGTTATAATATCATATTATTTATTGATTACTATAATTAATAAATAAAATCATAACTAGCAATAATTTTGTCAAGAGTAAGGTCAAAATAATTTCTCCTCTTAAACGTGAGATGCAGTTAAATTTCTAATATCAGAAATTTAGTATTTTATATACAAATATATTCTAATATCCTTCAATTTCTCACATTTTAGACAAACTAAGGTTAAGGATTCAGTTAAGACAATTATTCAAGGATTTATTTCTTTGGTCTTTTCTAAATAAAAATCACATTGAAAATGTTTTCAAATTAATTTTGGCCTTTGGGAACTACCAGCAATGTCAGAGAATGTTTCTGTCAACTTCTTTTTGAAGTGAGTATTTTAGTCTCTGAAATATAAAGTGGAGAAGTAGGAGGACTGACTCCTAATTTCAACGTGGTCACTTAGACAGGGTTCTGAGCGTAAACTTCCCCTTTAAAAATGATGTTCATTATATCTGACCTGCTTACCTGGCAAGATGGAGAGCCCAAATAAGAGGATGTGAAAAATTATAAATTCCTAGATAAACATGCAGTATTTGCTTAAGTATTTTTTCTTATAATATCAGCTTTAATATAGGTGAGATCAACTATCGAATTGCTTTCATTAAGCTGCATACATTTCACCTATATAGTGTAAAGGCTTTGATTACTTACCTTTTATGGTTTTTATAGGTTTCTTTGATAGTCAAAGCATATTAAGAGAAGGTTGACTAAAATATAAAAATGGCTACACTAATAATAGTACCTGAAAGGCAACTGATTTAAATAAACAGACTGTTTATTTCTTCTAACCTTCAAGTTAGTGTCATTTTCATTAATCCTATCATGTTTTCTCAAGTTGATAGGAGATTGAAAATGGCTTTTAGAGATATGAACTTACTTCCTCATATTATTTTGTAATTTATATTTTTAAATAACAATACCTTTTATCTTATGAAGACCTTAAGTTCTTGACTTATATAAAAAGTCTAAGAGGTTATTTCAATGGCTTTTTATATTGATTTAGTAAATCATTTCCGTTTTAAATAGTGTCAAGCAATGGCTTCATATTTTTCAATTATAAAAATCATAAGTAGAGTATTTGAATAACTTGCATACTTTATGATGGAATATCTATGACTAGTAATAAGTATAAGCATATATATTTGTGATTTTAATGAAGGAGAGAGTTTATATGAGAATAAATCAATGACATTCTATAGATTTCATCATAGTATTCTGATATTTATTCATAAGATGGTGCTTTCAGACTGCCGTGTACTTTTCTTCCTCATGTAGTTTTCAGCTATCTTCCTAAGTATGCGTAATCTCAAACTAGTTCACAATGCAGTGAAGTGCTATTAAATTCATTATAAACAGTTACTTTACTTCATTTAAGTTTGAACTTATGAACTTGTGCACGGGAAAAACTATATGGTTTTCATAATTCTTTATGGCTGTCATCTATACTTTGCGATCTATGTAAAATTGTGTACATTGAAGTTCTGGACTTAGTCTGCATTATAATTGGAAAAACTTGTGAAACATTGATTAAACTAAACATTATCGGAAAGTCAAGTAGTGAAAGATGAAACAAACTTTATGTTAATGTAACTTAGCAAATTAGACATTATATCATATAAGAAGTAGAAATTTGATTAGTATAACTTCTGCAAAAGTTCAAAAAAAAGAACTCTATTTTATCTTTAACTCACGATGAATCATTTTTTAGTTACTTTTCTCATAAAGATCATAAATTGACTAGAAGAGAGTATTGAGTATTAAGAAACTCTAACTTCCTTCACCTTCGAGGTGCACACCCAAATAGTCACACACACACACCTTGTTTCCTCTTGTTTCTCCTTGTTTGGAAAGCAGTTACCAAAAGCATCAGGAGAAACAAATGTTTTCCACAATAAATGTCACTATCCTTTTAGTAAGAACTAAGGACTGCCAAAGATAAAACATTTCAACACATGTTACTGTATGAGGATTCACCTTTATATATTTGTATCTCTGCAAAGAGTACATCACATTTATTAATCTCAGTTTATTCATTTGTTAATATTTAATTTCTTACATTTAATGTATATTTGATATTCCTTTTAAAAACTGACCTGCCCTCCTAAATCCCATTTTCCTCTCTTTTTTTCAATCTCACTTTTTCTGAGGAAAAAAATTCTTTAATAATATTTGCTAGTTACTAGCCAGAGGAGCAAAATAATCACTCTTAAGAAGTGGCTTGCTACTTACTGGGGCAAGAAAGGAGACCCATCAGGATAATTAACTTTAAAAGATTGCAATCCCAGAGTTTCTTTGCTTTTAATGTTTTCCTTCCAAGTGACCTATGTTCAACAGTGAAAAGGTGAAGTAAATAGTAATGAATTAAATCACTCTCAAATCGTCTTTCCTTTTCTTTTATTCATGCCTGTGTATGACATCACTTCTATGAGAGTCTGTTCTAAGAACTTATAACAGCGCTGGCGTATAAGAAGTGTTTAATAAATAGTTGCGGGTGAATGAAAACAGAGCGGAATTGTTGAAGGAAGAAATATTAGGTGATCCAGACTTTAGTGAACTTTGCCCCTATAAATACTGTGCATTTAGAGTGTTTTAATAAATCAAAACATGATTTCCAATATTTTAGAAACCAGAAGATAAATGATGAAATCCTTCAACTACTCCCATTTGAAAGTGGAAATAGTAGAGAAAATTAATATATATGCATTGTTAATTACATTATTAATGTTATTTTTGTAGATAATACTCTTACATAAATAAAACTGCATATGCAGTCATCATCTGATTAAAGATATAGAAAATATTAAATTTTAGTAAGTACAACTATTATATTGTAAACTAATTTTTGAAACTAAAAGAAGAAGAGAAAATAAAGCAATTGCCCAATGAGGGCAATATATGAGTCTAAATATAGAAACATTAAGCCTTATCCTTGCTTTTGTTATTTCTACAATTATGAAGCTGAGCCTAGATTATCTCTTACTCCTTCTAAAGCTCAAAATTATCTAGTCAACCAAGGTTTTAAGTAGTATGTTTCCTATAGCAGAATATAGAATCTTTTGCTTCTTTGAGGAAAGACTGATGTAGAAAGACTTTCATTTCTAAGATGTTAGGGAAAAACACAATTTCTAAACTTGAATTCTTATCGATACTTCATTATCCCAAAACTAAACTGAAAGTTTCATTACAGAAATATTAAGTATAGTTCCATACTCTTAATTAAAAATCACTTCAAATTCAATTAAGTGGAAGCATGACAAAAATGTTTATGAAAAAACATTAATAGAATTGAGTGCCTATTAACACCCCCTAAAAATAAATTTAAACAAATTAGTAATCATTTTGTAAGGGGTAAAATTGGAGAATGTGGATCATAAATGTATCAAATGCAGTGATTTCCTGTAATAAAAACATCAATTTTGCTTTAACTTAAGAAATGTTTCTAAATTCATAAATTTGCTAATTTGTGTCCATCTGAATAGTTTCTGTCTTTCTTCACCTCTGATGCTATTTTGTAAGCAACAGTACCCTATATACTTGTATTAGTGTTTTAAATTGTCACAGCAGCAGGTGAAACTCAAATGCTATTCTATGATTTGTAAATTTGTTCTCATCCACCTTTCTAGATTCTTCTATTCTTTGTATCTGTACTGGTCTATGTAGAATCTGTGATGTGTACCTATTGCAATTTTAGCTCATACTTTCAAGTGAGTGTTAATATCTAAGAGTAACGATTTCCCTGAAAGTTATTTATTTAAATGCCGAATGTTCTTATTTCATCGTGTGTCAACATTATTTTTTTAAAAAATATTATAATCAATATCTATGGAGTAAAACTGAACATTTAGTTAATACAAGTTGTATTAAATTATTTGCTTAATATGTGATTATAAAATAACCTATTTGCACATGTGGATGAACAAGTCATTCTGTTGACTCTCAATAAATGTTAAATGATGACAATTTACTATTGATTCCTGTGAATTCCAAACTTCTTAACAATAGTTCACGCTTTAGTTGTTTAATATTTATTGAGCGCTCACAACAGACGAGGCACTGGGGAATGGGTGTGAAGAGCATGGAGCGAGCTTCAGAGAGAAGGTGGTCTACATGAGGAGCCCATGCAACACCTGTACACACGCGTGTACTCTGCTTATTTACATGCTTATTTTTTTTTAATTGATTAAGGTATTACATATGTGTCCTTATCGCCCCATTTCCCTCCCCGCCGCCCCCACTCATGCCCTCACCCCCCTGGTGTCTGTG